ACAAATATGTTTACACCAACAGAGCACATTCCTGCTTTGATCTGGAAGGCAAGAAGCACTCACAAGAAACCGCTGATGATATTTTTGAATGCACTATGACCTCTTTTTTTTTTAATTCCTAGCTCCAGTTGTTTTGTTTGTTTGTACAGCATCTATTCCCATGCTGGACACATGCTCTAGCCTCTCAACAGCGTTCAGAGTAAAGAGTGCAAACCACTGAAAGAGACCTGAGCAAAGACAGCTTCATAAATTTAGCTTTCAAAAGACAGGCCGAAGACTGTAATGATGCATCTGCTGAGTTTTCTGGCATGCCTTTTTAAAGCCTCAATTACACCGTGATTCTCCCGGCAGATGTTAAAAGAATAGCGGGAAGCCAAGCTATTTGGCTGTGAGAGCAAAGTGTTTAGCCAAGAAGCACTCACAAGAAACCGCTGATGATATTTTTGAATGCATTATGACCATTTTTTTTAAATTCCTAGCTCCAGTTGTTTTGTTTGTTTGTACAGCATCTATTCCCATGCTGGACACATGCTCTAGCCTCTCAACAGCGTTCAGAGTAAAGAGTGCAAACCACTGAAAGAGACCTGAGCAAAGACAGCTTCATAAATTTAGCTTTCAAAAGACAGGCCGAAGACTGTAATGATGCATCTGCTGAGTTTTCTGGCATGCCTTTTTAAAGCCTCAATTACACCGTGATTCTCCCGGCAGATGTTAAAAGAATAGCGGGAAGCCAAGCTATTTGGCTGTGAGAGCAAAGTGTTTAGCAGGTGAAACAGTATCTGTCATGTTGCCTTAGACTTTAGGAGGCTGAAAGCATGTCTTTAGTCATTCAACTCTGATCATGTTTTATATTTTGGAGATACATGAACAAGAACTTCATATCTTCACACATTCATATTTCTCAGGGTTGTCTTGACTTTCATTAATATGAGAATGACTATTTCACCTAAAAACTGCATAGTAGGTTCCGGTGAATTTCTCACATTATTCACTTGCCCAATAATCCACAACCGTTCTCTTTATTTACGGACTGGAGTGAAAAAGTAATGTGAGATGTAGTTAAGTCACACTATGTTTTGCTTGGCCAAGTTCACTGGATTTAAATGAAATCAAGGACTTCCTTTTCAGTGCAGGTGACCCTTGTTTCCTACAGGACAATGCCTTTCCCAAGCTGCATTAGCTTGTGGTTAAGTATCAAGTGTCACAGTGGCTAATCACACACCGAGGAATAGGCTTCAACCTACATAGACATCGCAGAGGTTTCTGTGGTAATTTTACACCAATAGTGCCATCTAAAGGTCACAAGGAAGACGACGCTATTTCATTTTATTCTGACAAAATTTAAGGCACAGGCAATATTATTTCACCGCTGAATAGGATGTGCATCTGAACAATTAAATAAAATAATATTTTAGTAATAAACTATTTAATAAATATATTTAATATATAAATATATAGAAAGTAAATACAAATAAAATAATAAAGACATTATATACAAGTATAAATAATAAATGTATAAATAGTATTAGCAAAAAAAGTAATTATGTATGTATGCATAATGTATGTATGTATTGAAAATATGTATTTTATAATTATTTTATACATATTTTTTGTATTTGAAAAGATGGACATCTGAACTATTAAATAATGATATCATATTTGAATAATAAATATTTAATAAAATATGTATTTTAATATAGAAATATATTGAAATTAAATATATAAAATAAAATTATTCTTAATTATGAATTATCTATTATATATATATATATATATATATATATATAAAACGTTGCATGGCTGCATACAAATGAAAAGAACAGGCATCATATCTCACACTATCCCCGTCATTTAGCCTTGTTGATCTGCTACATGTATACTCAGTAAGCAGAGGAATCTGATCCGTCTGATCTGTCAAACACTTTTTAAAAGCATTAGAGTTCTAATTATAAAGGGGTTGACAGAGGGTAAAGGGGTGGAGTGGTTGCTGCCTCCCCACCTCTCAGCCTCTGCTGTGGGAGAAGCCCAGGACCTGTGTGCTGGAAGACAAGAATACATGCCTTGCATGCGGACCTCCAGCTTCTGTCCTAAAGGAATCCCACCAGCAGTTAATGAAAGGCACCTTTTCCCAAGAGGAGAGAAAAAAAGCTAATTTGAAGAAACTCGACCCTACTTTGCAAATCAGTCAGTATATCTGATTGTCACTCCAAGAGCTGGGGTCTAATCCTATTGTTTTTTCTATAGGATTACTTGTGCTGGGTACCTCTCCCCCTTTGGCACTGCACGGGAGAATAGACAGATTAAGGGGATTAGCTTGTATCCTCCTAACTTGTCAAACTGGGATGTAAGGATCCATTGACTTCACTGTTCTGAATGAGAGAAGTGCCTAAAAAAGAGAGCAATGAAAGGCAGTGAACAAGAAAAATTCCTGAAAGAACAATGTGATTTGTTTGCTTTTGTTCCTTTTGACTTGGCTTGGTTCAAAGGGTCTCACCTAAGAAGCCACAGTCCCAAATCAGACAGATACTGTATGTCCCTGGAATAAAGCAAGTAAGAGCCCTTAGCTATGGCTGTCAAAATAACATTTACCACAAAACAAACAGGTTTACTTGAGAGATTACACTGATTTTCTAGGGATCAGTGGTTGTCACTTTCTCGATCACAGATAGGCAGGCATCAAGCCCTGTCCGAATCCAATGTTTTCACAACAGCCTGTCTAATAAAATGCTTTCATCTGGTCATTTTTTAAAAGGCGTTATAAATGTATCCCCTGTGTGTGTGGACTGGAATCTGGTGGAGTGGTAGGGAAAAAAAGTTAATTCATTAATGTCCATTGTTAACTTTTTAACAAAAAATAATCATAGTTATATAGAAGTTGACTTTATACATTAGATCCTTGAGATACTGAAGAACCTTAGTAATTGAATCCAGCATTTTGATTTATATTTCACCCTTTTAAAGAATAAATTAATTATTCTTTAAAAGGGTGAAATATAAAACAAAATGCTTCTTCATAAATTGTTCTAGTATATCTTTTCTGGTATTCTTACTATGAATTAATATTTATATATTCCAAACATTAGAAAATTTTGCAATCCACCATATTCCTTTGGTTATGTCATTACTGAGTATTTAAAGCCACCACCATATCACAGTTTAAATACTCAGTTTTAAAACACATACAGTGGAGATCAAAATTAGGGAACAACCTACATTTTCCTAATTATCAAGGCCACTGCTTAGTCCTATTTGAAGTTATGCTAATAGGAGTAGAATGGCAGTTTTTTAAGCATATTTCATAAATTAATTGTATTCTGAAGCACAGTATAAAAAAACTTAAATGAGATATTTGAAAAAGAACTCAAAATCAAGATCAAAATTAAAGAACACTTACAGATACCTCCAAGTTATTGGTGTTAATAATTTCCTTAATTATATGACAAGCCCTATTTAACTAGCAGCATTCCTCAAATTTTCACTGAGATTGCAAGATGGCGGGCTGAAGGCGGTCCAGATGAAGACCAACGGTATGATACTTTCAGCCATTGCAAGAAAAGTTGGTCATTCCAAATCCGTGATTTCTCGAATATTGCAGCTTTACAATGACATTAATTCATTCAAGTCCCCCAAAAAGGCTGGTCATCCGTCCATGTAAAACAAATGCAAGAGAAGACAGGATAATGCGGAGACTCTCAGTGGGGGATTGATTCAACACCACAGCTGGAATTGCTTGCCAGTTCAGTGCTGAACAGGGTAAGGATCTGTCTCGGCATGTTTAAGAGAAGTCCGACTGAAAGCGCACTCTGCAGAGATGAAGCCTCTCATCAGCAGAATCAGTAGGCTCACCTTTGCTGAGGAGCATGTTGTGTGGACAGAGGACAACTGGTCCAAAGTTCACTTTAATGATGAGAGCAAGTTCAATTTATTTTGGGTCTGATGGGAAACATTTTGTTTGGCATCAAACTGGGGAAAGACTGAAGCCCAAGTGCGTAAAGAAGTCAGTAAAAGGTGGAGGAGGAAATGTCATGGTTTGGGGGATGTTTTCTGCTGCAGGAGTTGGGTCTCTTATACAGCTACATGGCAGGCTGAATGCAAATATTTATCAGAACCTCCTTCAACAACATGCGGTACCTTCCCTGCAAGCATCTCTCAATCGGCTTGCAATTTTCATGCAAAACAATGTTCCTGTCACACTGCAGAATGGGTAAAGCAGTTTCTTGAAGCTGAGAACACTGAAATAATGAAATGGCCGGGCCAGAGTCCCGATGTAAGCTTTACTGAAAATCTCAAAGTTATAGCTAAGAAACCCACTAAAGTTACCGAACTGTGGAAGAAGAGTGGACCAAGATCACACCAGAGCAGTGTGAGAAACTAGTGATGTCCTGTGTGGCCGCAGATGTGCTAAAGCCACTCAAAGCAGGGGCCTTTACAATTACTACTAATTTATGACAGCCGTAACCCTCCAAAATTTCGTGCTACAATGGTTACTGTTCTCTAATTTTGATCACTGTGTTTTCCACAAAATAAAGGTTTTTGTGGAAATGTCTTGGTTATTTTGTCAAACATGTTAGTACAGTATACCTACAGCTAATATTCCTTCAAATTTTGAGCACTGAAAATCAACAACATTTCTGAAAAAAAATCAAGCATTTTTATATTGTTCTCTAATTTTGATCTCCACTGTACATGGGAAATGTGATGTGTGTGTGTGTGTGTGTGTGTGTGTGTGTGTGTGCGTGTGTGATCTCTCTATCTGTCTATCTATCTATCTATCTGTCTGTCTGTCTGTCTATAGCATTCTTTCTTGCTTTGGCTTACTTTATTTTTGCATCGGGAAATGTGTCATTTCCTGCCCCTTTAAATTCAATGTCAGCTGATTTCTTGATCTCAGCTGGTAAAGAACAAAAAAGTCACGCCCTGCCGTCGCTTTGTTGTGTTTAAACGGCAGATAAATCATCCAATCGTGCCTACGTTTATTTGTTAAACCAGGAAGTGTTCGCTTGAACGGACCAATAGCAGCAGGGGGCTGAGCTTGTGGAGACTTTCTGAGTTTGTGAGAGAGTTGAAAGAAAGAAGAAAGAGACGTACCTGAAGCTAGCTCGCAGGCTAGCTGAATGTCCTACCGTGTCGCAGATGTGTCGAAAGCCACGGGAAAGGACGGAATGTGGGGGGTTGGATATATAAAGCTGGGAATGGGGTTGTTTGTAAGTAACGTGGTTATTGGACCGATCGGTTCGGTGACAGTGGAGGCAGCGCTGACCGAGGTAAAAACACTGTTAGCATCATTAGCCTAGCCGGTAGACTGAGGTTGCGTCTCTAAACCTAGTGAGCTGCCCACTTAGACAGCATTTTGAGGCACCTTAGGTGCGTTTAAACGTTGTGCTCAGAATGCTGTCTACTTAGTCAACTCATTAGGTTTTGAAGCACAGCCTGTGTGTTTGCGTTCACAGCAGTGACAACAAAGTTTACTTAGACTTTTAATTCTGACATGCCACAAACATATTTTACAAGGCTCGTAAGTGAGCTTTATCGTCCACTTCTAAACAAAAAGTCTGTTTTAGTAAACTCGGGTGACAACAACCTAGAGTGCTGATCTGAACAGTTTTAGTTATGTCCATAATATGGCTTTTAAAGTTGTCAGCCTAAATAAATCTACAGGAATATACATTCACTGATCAATGATATATGGACTAACAGTGTCACGTCCTTAGGCATCATGATTTTTAAGTGTAAATTAGTCTGCTGTTAAATTAAATCTCGTAAAAAACAAAATCTAGATATATATGTATTAAGTCGACCCACTCTAAATTAATTATTTCTTTAACTACTATATACCAGCATTTTGCTACATTTAGGTTCCTTTTTAGAATAATTCAAAAACTTCCTGCAATGTGAATCTGTAAACAGAATACTGTTCTAGGGACAGTTTGTTCCATTTCAGTCTTGCTGAAATTACATGTAAATACACAGCCAAATGAATGATTCATAAATCTTTGTCTCGTCCCTAATGTTTTCCTTCCTGATGAGTAAATAATTAAAAAAGACTGTCTGTTATTACTGCTGCCACTAAAGTAAGGATGTACAATAGGATTTTTCAGCCAGCGCAAGGTTTTATTGGTATTAAGGTTGTGATCGTTCTGCAGTGTAATAGTTTAATGACAGTTCGAACTGTACAGTTGACTGTGATTGACACTTTAATATTAGCGGTCTAGAAAAAGCACATATTTAAAACATTTCACAAGGCTGTTTTGACTGTGGGCTTTTATTCTGGCCTTGACTGTGATAGGCGTGTACGTATGAAGATGCTCTTCTCTCTGTTGTGACAGGTGGTAGATCAAGGTCAGTGAAAGAAAAAAGCAGGGAGTGAGATGTTTGCTCTCCACAGGTGTTATCTCTGAGGGAATGTAGGTGCCTAAAAGATAAGCTGATCTGCTAACATTACAAAAACCACATGTTTTGTGCCTGTGGAATGGCGTTTGCAACTTTTACTTCAATAAAGTGACATTTCTGAAGGCAAACAGGACTTTTGATGAGAGAAGAATTAGTAGGATAAAGAAAAGCTCTACATCACAACCTTTTTTTTTACACAGGAGCCTCATTTTAAATGACACTGCTGTTCAAAATTTGAGAAATCTGTACGATTTCTTTTTTCTCAGAATTCTTCTCTTATTAATAGAAGTAAATAGAAATCTTTTGTAATTTGCTGAATATTTTTACTGTCACTTTTGATCAGTTTAATGTGTCCATGCTGAAAATGAATTAATTGTAGTGTACATATCAACTTCCAACATAGATTCAGCTGCATCCAACTTTAAAAGAGAATAAATTATCTCATGCATTTTGCACATTTTGTTTTTTTTATGAAAGTTTATAAAACCTTTTTTATTTTATTGTGAAATAACATGCACAGTAGAGTGCAACAGTCATCACCCACATTTTCATTGGCTTGGTTCCACAAAAGTTTTTCCCATTAATTTTCTACATTGATTTTCATACTCAAATGGTTTAGGTCATACTTAAAAGGGATAGAGGTTATTATGTGAGTATAAGAGAGCATAAGTCTAAGTGGACGTCCATGACATGCGGAGTCCCACAAGGCTCAATTCTTGCACCGCTCTTGTTTAGCCTTTATATGCTCCCACTAAGTCAAATAATGAGAAAGAACCAAATTGCCTATCACAGCTATGCTGATGATACCCAGATTTACCTAGCCTTATCACCAAATGACTACAGCCCCATTGACTCCCTCTGCCAATGCATTGATGAAATTAACAGTTGGATGTGCCAGAACTTTCTTCAGTTAAACAAGGAGAAAACTGAAGTCATTGCATTTGGAAACAAAGATGAAGTTCTCAAAGTGAATGCATACCTTGACTCTAGGTGTCAAACAACTAAAAATCAAGTCAAGAATCTTGGTGTGATTCCGGGGACAGACCTTAGTTTCAGTAGTCATGTCAAAGCAGTAACTAAATCAGCATACTATCATCTCAAAAACATTGCAAGAATTAGATGTTTTGTTTCCAGTCAAGACTTGGAGAAACTTGTTCATGCCTTTATCACCAGCAGGGTAGACTATTGTAATGGTCTTCTCATCGGCCTTCACAAGTAAGACCATTAGACAGCTGCAGCTCATCCAGAACGCTGCTGCCAGAATTCTGACTAGAACCAGAAAATCTGAGCATATCACACCAGTCCTCAGGTCCTTACACTGGCTTCCAGTTATATTTAGGATTGATTTTAATGTACTTTTACTCATTTATAAATCACTCAATGGCCTAGGACCTAAATACATTGCAGATATGTTCACTGATTATAAACCTAACAGACCACTCAGATCATTAGGATCGAGTCAGTTAGAAATACCAAGGGTTCACACAAAACAAGGGGAATCTGCTTTTAGCTATTTTGCCGCCCGCAGTTGGAATCAGCTTCCAGAAGAGATCAGATGTGCTAAAACAGTCACGTTCAAATCTAGACTCAAAACTCATCTGTTTAGCTGTGCATTTATTGAATGAGCACTGTGCGATGTCCAAACTGATTGCACTGTATTTTATGTATAATCATTTTCTTAAATTCTTAAATTCATTTTAAATCAATTTTTAAATCATCTTCAAAGTTTTTAAATTCCTTGTTTTATTTTTGTGATTATTATTTATTTTTTTATGATTATTTTACTTTCTTTTATGTAAAGCACTTTGAATTACCATTGTGTACGAAATGTGCTATATAAATAAACTTGCCTTGCCTTGCCTTGCCTTACATTTAAAAAAAAAAGGCATAAAGATTGTACTATAAATTAGGAGATAACAAAGGCAAAACACTGTACCCAAAAATGAAAATTCTGCCATTTATCCACCCTCATGTCATTCTAAATCTGTGTCTTTCTTTCTTCTGTGAAACACAAAAGATATCTTGAGAAATGTTTCAGTGTGTTTTTTTTTTTGTTGCCAACATCTTCTATATTCAGCAGAAGAATAAAAAGTCAGAGGTTTGAAATGACATGAGGGTGAATAAATTAAATGTATTCATTTTGGGGTGAATTGCTATTAGAGGTTTAAAACTAGGGTTGCAAAAAATGGAAAATTTCCAGTAAATTTCGGAAACATTCCAGAAATTTTAGAAACTTTCCAGGATTTTTGGGAATATTCCAGGGATTTTTGGAAAGTTTCCGGAAATGTTCCACCCCTTTGCAACCCTATTTAAAACAAGCTCTATAAATAGCATAAATGTGTGGATTACCCTGGTCAAGCTCATATCTCAAACATATGTGTGGAGTAGAGCATTGGTGCTTCCAACACCAAGGTTACAGATTCAATTCCCAGGAAATGCATGCACTGATAAACTGATAAATGTATATGTTTAGTAGACGTAAATTAAAAAGCGTCTGATATAACTTCACTTAACATTGGAACACCTGGTTGATTCATTTTGAATGCTTCTTAAATTATCACTAAAACTGTATTTTTTATTTAGAAAATGAATGGTGTTTTTGTCTTCTGGAACCCTACTGTTGCACATTATAAGACCAGGAATGTGTAATAATTAACTAATTAACCTTTAACTCAGCTGTTTGCTGCCAGTTGCCATTCCTTCTATGAACTTCTTGGCACTATGTCCAACCCTGCACAGGTTTGCAGCACTGAACACTCAAACTTTTGCTTTCTAGTGCTTGATATCACTGATCATCATCTCTAAAGAGTCAATCGAGATGGCATTTTTACTGTCATATTAAAACTATTGTTCAACAGGCAAGATTTCAGTTGCACTGTCCTTTGTATCTAGCACAACACTCGAGACAACTGTCAGGCCAGCAGTTGTCATCGATGTCTGTGTGTATGAGAGAGAAGCACAGACCGCTTGTCAGCTCATCCTGTGTACTTGCATTCCCTGGCAGCCCTCGCTGAGTCTAAAATGCCTTGAGGGAGGCTGTGAGGGAGTATGTGTGTGTGTTTAAATTGAGCCCTTCTGGCTAATAAAGGGGGCAGTTCATGTCGCACTGTACCATGTGTGGGTGGTGGGTGGCCCGAGCCCGACCTTCCTCTTCTGTCTCTCCCTTGGTCTTTGCAGCCCTGTGTGTAACAAAACTCTGTCTCTGCTGTGTTGATTTTCCGATCAGACGGCTATCATGCCTTTTCTCCTGGGGTTTAGACAGGTAAAACGAGAGCAGAGGAATCAGCATTATTATTTATTATTTTAATTAGCAAACATAGCTAGACATGCATTAAGTATAATACAGTCTGCTCACTCAAAGATTTGCATAGCGATCTGCCTGTCAATTGTATTAATGTGCTTTTTATTATCACCTGTGTGTAAAGAAAGTGTCACTGTGTTGGGTTCATTTATTTACTTTATATATTACTGTACTTATTCTTTTGGCTATATATTGCATTGAAATTTAATTTAATTTGTTTATTTTTAATTCAATTTTAATTTTAGTTTTTTGTCATAAACAAGCCTTTTGTGCACGGATCTGTGCTGATAATATGCTTATATTTTCTGTTTGGTTTTGCAGAGCCGGCTGCCTTGTGTAGGAGTGAACAACCAGAGCTACTTCTGTGATTCGGGCCACTGCTGTGGAGAATCTCAGTGTTGCAGCTATTACTACGAGGTGTGGTGTAAGTATCTAAGTCCTTCCTGCCTACACATGCTGTAAGATGAGGTCAGTCCATGGTGTATATGTTCTCTATAGTGTCTGAAACATCCTTCAGTTGCTTTGGATATGTGTGTAGTTACTTCAAGTGCATACTGGTTTGTGTATAACACACTTATCTCCCTAGATGTGGTCGCAATTCCAGGACACTGTAAACTCTGAAGGAAAAGGCAGCATGTCTAGATTTTTTTAAATGAGATTACATTCAACTTTGAAATGATTCAGCATTTAAATACAGTTGTAATAACATTTAGGGGTGTAACGTGCCACCTGCTTTTGTTCTCAAGTTGTTTGCAATAAGCAGCCCTAGCTTCTGATGCCAGCTATGGGTTGGACAGGAGGCGGCATGCCTTGGGAAAAGACATCCAAGTCATAGCTCATGTTTGACACTGTAATTGTATTGTTTCTGTAAATAGTAATGGGATTTAGGTGTTCAATCATGCAGCGTACTGGAACTATATCTGCTGCAATTTGAAGCATAAATGTAAGTGACCTCACAGTACAACAGATATAATCTTTTCTTTTTTTTCTTTGTCCCTTTTTAAACGTCTTTCATTGGTTTTAATTATGGGTATGATATGTGTGTGTTGCTGCTAAGTTTTATGTCATTGGCTGGCCCTGATCTAGTTGTTGTTCTGCCCTGTTCACACCCGTTGGCAGTGTTCCTGTGTTATCATATTACCCCTCTCCCTCTGGTGTACCATCTATTTTAATAACTGAGGACTAACCTCATCTCCACGGTAATTACAGCACATCGTCTGCTGAGTCAAGGAGCTGCACTTTGGGTTTTGTACAACGTGCCAAATACATGCGACCCGGACAGACACAAATCCAGTGTAACCGGATCAGACCAGCCCCTGTAAACAGCTGCCTTAAATTTCTCTATTAGGAAAAGTGGACCCCCCCACCCCTCGTCTGCCAGAAAAGGTCTCTGCTTTATTTGGGGCAAAGTTTCACACACTTGGATCTCACATGACATTGACCCACACCACTCTAACCGTTGGCTGATGAGCGTCACACCCTAATGTCCAGTACATTCTTCTCCTGTGATCTGGTGCCAGATTGTTAGGTTGTTTTGGGAGAAGACATTTCTGTATGGAAGTGTTTTGTAGACTTTTTTGTTTTGTTTTTAAAGAAATTAATACTTTTATTCAGCACGGATGCTTAAAAATGATCAAACATGACAAAGACATTTACATTGCTACAAAATATTTCTATTTCAAATAAATGCTCTTCCTTTGAAAGATCTATCCTTCAAAGAATCCTGAAAAAGTGCATCACAGTTTCCACAAAAATATTTAACTGTTTTCAACATTGATACCAAGAAATGTTTCTTGAGCAGGCTGCAGCAAATCAGCATATTAGAATGATTTCTGAAGGATCATGTGACACTGAAGACTGGATTAATGGCTGCTGAAAATTCGGCTATGCCAACACAGGGATGAATTGCACTTGAATTCAAAATATATGAATATAATTAATTGCAAAATATATTAAAATATGGAAGTTATTTTAATTTGTAATACTGTTTCACTATATTGTTGTTTTTACTGTATTTTTTACTTTGTGCCTACTGTATTACTGTAATGTGTATATTATAAATGCAGTCTTCATGAGCATAAGACTTTTTCCAAAAACATTTTTAAAAAATCATACCAACCCCAAAGTTTTCACAAGTTGCGTACACAGCGTGCAGCCAATCAAGATGTTAAGACTAATGAGATTTGACTGTGGGTGGAGCTTTAAGACAAGACACAATGATGAAACCATTAGAAACCAAGCAATTAACAAAATGTCTGGTCAGGCAACACTGGTGACAACGACTCAGATTAATATGGAAGAGTTGTGATTTATGGTGTGCTGTGCCTGGTTGGGACATGATGTTCTCTTCACTCATTAACAGTCCTGTGTTATGTGTGTGCTCTTTCATCAGGGTTTTGGTTGTTTCTGACTCTCATCATCATTCTGGGCTGCTGCTGTGTGTGTCACCACCGTCGAGCCAAACACAGACTGCAACAACAGCAGCGGCAGCATGAGATCAACCTCATCGCTTACAGAGAAGCCCATAATTACACATCTCTACCCTTTTATTTCAGTCAGTACCCACTTCATTCAGTCGTTCTACCTCTAATCAATACAATACAACATGAATTAATCTCCTAAGGTGCAATTTAGTTTTGACCACAGACATTGTATCAGACAAATGCAGACACTAATGTGCTGCTGAAGAAATAGGGTGATTGGAAAGATTATGTTAAAGGTTCTATAACCTTTCATATAACTACTAGATCTTTTTATTGCTCCTTAGAAAAAATGTTTGCTTTAGTCATGGTCAGTCAATAAATGCATTTCTTCGTCCTCTTCTCCAGGCTTCCTGCCTGGCTACCTCTTACCCGCATACGAGGAAGTCGAGAACAGCCCTCCGACGCCCCCGCCTCCGTACAGTGCCTCTCAGCCGGGCCAGTCCACCAGCACTGACCCCCTGTGCTCTGAACAACCAGATGAGCTCTGCACTCCACTGGAGTCCAGCCCCGTCATCCCGTCTGCATCTGACAACTGTTCCCCGCGACCCTGCGTAGAGCAGTCACATACTCCCACTGCACACCGCCCTGTCAGAAACACCCACAAACCACAGTACCTCAGCCGAGAAGAGGACGGGCAGCCCCAGCAGGTGGCGTGCGCTACCTCACACAGCCCGGTCAAACAGGGCAGCTCCGGCGAGGATCTGACTGAACCCATAGAAGACTGTTCTCCCGACAGCAAAGAAAAGACTCCAGGACGCCACCGGCGCTTCACAGGTGACTCTGGGATTGAGGTATGCGTTTGCAACCAGGGGCCCGGGGACGGAGAGGAAGAGGAGGAGATGAAAGAGTTTGTGGGGCACATGGATGGAGGGGTGCTCGAGCAGCAGGACTTCTGTGATAGCTGCAACCCCCGTAGCAGCAGCCACCCTCCTCGTGGTCCGAGGGATGAGGAACAGGGCCTGGCTGCCTCAGATGTGCCTCTAGAGCAAAGAGAGCATCAGCGACCTCCAGTCTGCCTCCATCTGCACACCATCAACGAACAGGACGGTCCACATCACGCCAATAACACGGACCCCCAGAGTTGAGCACAACTGGTTCCAGCAGAGACTTACTTTAGACTGCTGTCTCCCTTTACTTTCTCAAGATACATCAGTTTGTACTGTCAGCAATGTCACTTTGGGTGTGTTTGTGTGTGTGTGAGAGAGTGAGAGAGAGTTTTAAAAGGGCGTTAATGTGTGAGTCCTTACGGTTTTTATGGATTAATAGGGTAATCTAATAAAGACGTTAATAGGTCTGTTGCCTCACAGGGAGGTCATGATCAAAGCCACAGGGGAAATTCTCCTCAGTTTATAGCCTTATCGAGCTCTGAGTGACATGCCTGTAGGCTTTTTGTTGGTTTTTGAGGGCTGATTGCCTCCACCTGAGATGAAGATGGCACTCAAGGTCGGGGGATACTGATTTGGGCTGGCTTTTGTTCCTGAATTCTTACCTTTAATAACATTTTAAAATACTTAAAGGGACAGTTCACCCAAAAATGAAAGATCTGTCATTATTTAGTCACTCTCATGGCATTCCAAACGCACAAGACTTTGTCTTGTTTTTAAAGAAGTTTATCTTTAAAACACAAAGATATTTTTAATAAAACCCGAGAGATCCATTTAAAAAAGTCTATTCCACTAAAAGTTGATGCTTCAAAAAGTTCAAGATTGTAAAATAAATCCATATGCATATACAGTACATAGAGCACATCAAATATGGTAAATAAAAGATGAAACAAACGTGATGCACGAGAATCAGTGACGTTTCTTCTTACACATCAAGCAAGTACAGTTGAACTTCTGTTTCTATGGGTTCCTTGATCAGTGTTTATATGTGAATAAAAGCTTAAATAAATTTCAAAGGAAGTACAGAAATTATGCAGGTTTGATTAAAAGTATCTTTATTTTTGTTTAAAAGAAAATCAAAAGTCTTATAAGTTTGAAATGATATGAAGATGAGTAATTCATAACAGAATTAGCATTTTTTTTGGTGAATTATCGATTATATATTGTGCACACACAAAAAAAAGGAAAAGATGGCCACAGAGCAGTCTGCTAATACTTCAGAGCTTTAATATTCAGTTGTTGTGTCTTTTTATTTCTTGTCTTTTTTTTCCAAAAATGTTTGATCTGGAGTAGCTGCATGATGCTATTCAGAAAAATGAAGGAAAGTAATTATCTCAAATATGTATTTTTTGTCTTTTTGTATCAATAAGTGACCATGCTCCCTACCTAGCAGGGTATGGTTGCCATTTGGTTTGGTTTGTCTCATCATTGTATAACATGGTCTCGGGCTTTATCCAATTTTTTGCATGATTATTTGCATAAACTGAATAGATCCACATGCTATATAGTAATACATTTTGAAGTTCATTGTGCAAAGACTCTTTAAATGAAGGCTGAAAATACCTTTGTATAGACTGAACCCAGCTTGTACATTTACACTAGGTGCCTTTGTTGATTTGAGTAGTTTTCATATGCCTTAAAGAGAAGAGTGTGTGTTGTAGAATTTCTGCATAAAATAATTAAGGGCCAGTATGAGTGAAGATTTTGATCAGTGGTAACGTCTTGTTTGAAAGGATCACTTGATAAGCCTTCCATCGAAACATATCATTTAAATATGGAATTTCTTTATTCTCCCATAATGCTTTTAAGTTGTTTTTGTATCTTTAACACTGTAATGGAACTCTTGCACCACTAACAGTAACTTATGTATAGGCCTTATTAAGCTTTTAATTTGCATTTTATTGTAGTAGATCAGGTAAGGTTACTGTCATGTTAGTGTAGCACTTATGTCGGGTTCATGATGAGATTGAGATTTGTTTTTCTGTGGCAGTGAGACCAGTCCAAAGCTGCTCCACTGCATTC